GGATGCGGAGAAGCATGTGCAACTCCAGTGAGGTTCTCATCACTGTCAACTTCCAGAAAGCTCGCAAGGACAGAAGCATCAAGTTCTACACGTCAGAGAATGGCTTGATCTTCAGCAGTGGCTCCATACTGGTCAAGTACTTCAAGCAGTTGGTGGAGCTGCCAAGCAACAAAGTGCTGCTCTAGCTCCGGCCAAGGGGCCTCTGTTCTTGAGAGTAGTTAGATCTTTTCTCAAGTCTTGGAACGAATCTATAAGAAAGTTTTCTAGATATTTAATCAATCAGTCCTTTTTTGGCTTCCAAAAAAACAAAACATAAGAGAAAACACGTCCTCATACCATAAGCTACTCTTCCTTTGCAATTGTCCCCTTCTCGCACCATCCAAGAACTTTCTGATGTCCTTGTTCTTCACATGGCATTTCTGGCAGCAAAAAAAGAAGAAACATCACCACGAGATAGATCTAAAAAACTCATCTCATACCTGTTGATGAGAGCAGCAAACCTCATGGCTTGCAACCGTGGTGAAATGCCAAAATACGTAATTTCTGGGAGCAAAAAATGAAGAAACATCACCATGAGATAGATCTTAAAAACTCATCTCATACCTGTTGATGAGAGCAGCGAACCTCATGGCATGCAACCGTGGTGAAATGCCAAAATACATAATTTCTGGCAGCAAAAAAAGAAGAAACATCACCATGAGATAGATCAAAAAAACTCATCTCATACCTATTGAGAGAGCAGCAAACCTCATGGCGTGCAACCATGGTGAAATGCCAAAATATGTAATTTCTGGCAGCAAAAAAAGAAGAAACATCACTATGAGATAGATCTAAAAAACTCATCTCATACATGTTGATGAGAGCAGCGAACCTCATAATATATAGCATAACCACTATGAAAATACAAAACACTTGGGAAAGAAAACCATAGAATAAAAAGGAAAGCTCATAAAAATAGGAGTTTTAAATATTAAAAGACTGGTTTATATAAGCTTCTCAAGTGCTTTAAGCTAAAAAGCAGTATAAGAGCTCCTAATTAAATATCCAGATTAAAAAGATTAAAGTTGAAAAAAAACCATGCCTCATCTGGATTATAATTAGGTGATATCATGCTAGTAAGTTATATATGGAAGTTATGATTTCAAGAAAATTAAAAAATTTATTAATTTTCTATAAGATTGTCTATAGCCAAAAAAATTGAAATCATATATAGCTAAAAATCTACAAAATTCCAATTTAAACCTATATTACTATTAAATGATTCAACACTACTTACTATCCAGTAATTATATAAAGAAGAACATGATTACAAATTAACATAGATTATAAAATATTAATGTTCTAAATATAACATGGATCTAATACATTACTATGTACACATTAATATTATTATTTTTGTATATGATATAATATTCAATGGCATATAAAAATATTATAATATATAAATATTTTTTATGCTTTTATTTTAAACAAAAATATTGTTGTATTAAGCTAATCATTTGTAAGAAAAATTTTGATACTTTTTTATTTACATGAATTAGAAACTACATTGTAGATACCTAAAGATTAAAGAACATAGAAAAATTTTAAAATTTTAAATTAGATCATATATTACTATATAAAAGAAATATATATTGATATTATTATATGTTTCAATATATAATACAATTTATTACTTAAATATTATAAATAGCTACTAATATTCTATTTTAAAATTTTTTAAATATATTTAAATTTATGATATATATTAATTTTACAATGAATTTTTTATTAAACTCTACTATTTAAGGCTAAACATAATTTGTAATACTAATTATACTTAAAATATCCTCCAAAAACAATAACAATTTTTTATTTTTTACAAATATGTGCATATTTTATATATTTATCATCAAGGTTTTCTCTAAATAGAAAAAATAAAGCAGTTTGTCATATAATTACTAATTTATATTTCAAAATAGTAGCTTTCTTGATTCAAATACTCCATTATCTAGTTTTTAGCTAAGAAATGTGTATACTTTAAATATTATTATTTTGTAATATTCAAATTTACTATATGGTGATGGCTTATATATTTGTCATTTTGTAAAACCCATCTATAACACTTTCATTCTATAACCATTATATACATCCTTTGGAGCTTAAAAGTGAAAATTCTAAAGAACACACTTTGTTTCAAAGTCCCAAATGAATATATATATAAATCATGTAATTTTTTATAAAACTGAACTAAAATATAATATTAATATAAAATAATTATATTTTAATAATTTTTAATTAAATATAGAAAGAAACATAATGTAAAGTTTTGAGGAATTTCTTTCATAGTGGCTTTGATGTTCTTCTGATTTGTAAAAAAGCCATAAATTATAGTTATTTTAAATGTTTGTGGTTATTAGTAAATTCCTTAGCATTTTTTTAATGTAATTTTATATAAATATTTCATTATTTATTATTCTAAACTATATTTTTATTTATCTTTAAGTGCTACAATAATGATATACTGTAATGTTGCAATAATATTAGAAATTTTTTTTTGATTTTTGATTTTTTTATTTTTTCATTATTTTCTTGTTTAAAAATTTAATTTGTTTCATCATATCTTTGAAATTTCATTGAACTTTCTTTTTAATTATGATCTTAAATTTTCTATAAATTTGCTATATACTAATTTTGCACCAATTTGCCATTTATATTTTTAGTATTGTGAATATTCATGTGAGTTTTAAATGACTAGATAATGATGATTAGCATACCTCTTTCTATTTATCCTAAGACCTTAGCAATGTACTAATAAAGAAAGCTTAACATGATTAATTTAATCACAAGAGGTGCTGGTACCATCTAGAGGTGCTGGTTTCGATCTAGAGGTGCTTTTAGAGGTGCTGGTACCATCTAGGCATTTCAGAGTATTTACTTAATAAATATTCAGTTTTAAATGGTGATTATTCAGGCAACAGTGATGCTCTGGCATGGAATTGAAGAGAACTCAACATTCTTCCAAGTGATCTAGCTTCTGGGCCTCAACAACAATTGGTTTTGTTGAGGCATGCTTCTAAAAAGCCTCCATGCAGACCCATTACCAGTATGGAATTCCACATCATTAGCTTCCACTTTGGCATTCTTATGAAGACTGCCTTGGCTGCCACATGCCTAGAGCAAGCTTTTTGGATGTGATAAAAGAGATGCTTCAATACGTTTCCTAAATGGGCATGTAAGTTTCCACATCAAATCCCTCTCAAGCATCTCATCAAACACGCATAGAGATTGCCCTGTTTGGGCATATGCTGCCAATTGCCTTGCAAGACACTTCATGTCATCTTAAAGAAATACTTGGCTGCCATGCTCCCAATCAGATTTCCTGGTGGTTGTGGCCTCCAACACTCGCCATTGCTCTAACGCAGATCAAGGGCATCAAGATTCCAGTACTATTGGAATTGTTCATGCAGTCCCATTGGTGTCTTCTTTTGGCTTATGCAGTGTTCTTTTGGATAGAACTTTGGATCTTGGAGCTTTCAAGCCTTCTTATTCAAAGAAAGAGGAAATCAGTGAAGATTTCTACCTGGATGAAATGGAGAGTGATGATGGCACTCAAGAGACCAATCTTTTTATGCATTTATTTCCTTTGCTGCATTTGTTAATACTATGGGAAATTCCTGTTTCAGATAGAGTTTTGCTTAGGGAGATAGTGTGTCATGGAACACAGACTTGTAGAAAATGCCATAAATGCAAAGAGCACCTATGCTGACACCAGATTTCTTGGAACAGCCTCTTGACCGTCCATGCCAAGTCTGTGATTGTCTTTTCCACTTATGAAGAAATAGGATGTTATCTTCTGTAACATAACGCCAAGCAGGTAAATCAATGCATGTTTCAAGAAAATTAGATTTCTTTTAATTCTATGATTTCTGTGTATGCTCTGTTGATGACCTAGTATCATGGAGAGCCATGCAGCACATGCCAACAATGGGCAGAATCCAAGAGGACATATAGGAAATGTCTTTCTGTCACTTCTTGACGTGGCAGGAGCTCACTCATTGTGAGGACACAAATATGCCTAAACATCATATGCCTCATGCGCAGCACAGAAGAAATCTCCTCTCGGGGATCTCTCACAGAGGGGCTGGGATATTTTGCAAGGATGTAAATCTATTGTTTTGAGATATTTTTAATAATTTTGTAAATTTTAAACTTGTTAAATTGTTGTAAATAGAAATATGAATTTTACAAAAGTTGGATTTTTAGTACATGTTCTTTGCTTGTAAGCAAACCATTTTTTAACTGCACTAACATGAGTTTTATTTCACCATTTTCAAATGATTCCTCCCATGCTCATTCTGATCTGTCCATATCCCATGAAAGCAGATGGAAACGTGGTAGTACTCCAAAACATAACATCTCCAGCATCTCATGGTGTTCTTCAGTATTGGGAGAAGCTTCTTCACGCTTGGCCTCAGCCTCACCTGTGGAGAGAAGAACCACACAGATCAAACAAATAGTAAAGCCATGAACATACCTCAAATGGTAGGAGTGTCTCGTCTTGCAGAAGGAAAGCTCGCACAACTAAAACCAAGAAAAACAAAGTGAGCCAGTTGAGGAGAAAGAGAAGAGGAAAAAACTTGCCTCAAGCCGCTTGAGAAAAAGTTTGCGATTTTTTCTTCAATATTTTCATTAGCACCACCTCCAGCCTTGGACATCATCCTGGCACACCCTGTGAGCAGCAGAACCAAAACATACAGGGTAAAAGAGAGAAAAAGTAATGAGCACCTTCCTCTGCGACGAAGACCCCATCTCTTTAGCGCATAGCTGAAACTTTTAACCAAAGGTCCTCACTTTTATTTCCCTTTATATAAGTTTTCTAGAGCACAAGGTGGGTAGTCTCTCTTGCCAACTGGCTCTTCAGTGGCCGAGCGAGACGATGATGAGCGTCTCTGAGCAACTGGAGCGCGGAAGAAACTCGTCATGTGAAACATCTTCTAAGTGGAGGAATTCAAGGAGTTATGGGACAACGCCCACATTGCAATGATAACAATCTCATGTAGGACTTACAAGGTCCATCCTAGAGACTCTTTGTAAAATTTGGTCATGCTAAAACGCGTGTTTCAGTCAATGTCTTAGCTTTATAACTTGTTGATTGTCTATTCAGGAATATACCAAAACCTGATTTGGCGGGTTGGCAGCGAAGAAACGAGAGACCACGCGAAAGCGGCTAGACTTTGTCTTATGGACTTGCTCCCAGATCTGGATCTATTTGATACTTCCACTGAACAGGTTTCCTTGTTTCAAGATAAAAAGCCGCCTATTGTTCTCTTTACAGCGGAGAGATGCTGGACTCACAAAAGAAGATGTTGAGAGATGTATTGTAGATGAAAATGTGGGCGAACTAGACCGTTTGAAGATGTTCCTTTCACCGACAGCTCATCAGGTTTACCCTCCCTAGAAGTGGTGAAAGGTTGTTGGAAATTTTGCTGCAGCTTCAACAAAGCTGCGCAGTAGCTAAGCTTCCGACAACGTTCCAAGAGTACGGACTACGTGCATATCACGCTCTGATTCCCACGATCAACAGTTCCCTGGAGCGTTTCAATGCACAAATGCAAGTGAGTGCTCTAATGATATCTTTGATGCATTGATCGGGCTGAGACACTGTAGGTCGCAGTAGGGGAGGCGGTGAATAGGATTATTCAAAATGGCACGTTTACAAAAGATGTATGCTCTGCCAGTTCCTCAAACATTCGTCTAAAAACATCACAGGTAGTGGGAAGACTCCTGCCTACAATAATGACTATGCTGACGTCAACTCGGCCAGATGCTGTTGTGTACGCTTGGCTTGAGGCTCTTTGCTCGTTAGTGCCTTTTCTACCTCGAAAGGTAGTGTGGACAAGGTTTCACCATTTTAGACATTTCGTTTTGACAGGTCCTCACTGAAAGTTTGCTAAAATTGGCTCTATCTAAAGGACAGCCTGACGAGTCGTCCCAGACAAAAATTCTTTGTGCTCGAATATATGGCTCAACCGCACCCTCCTTAGAAGGAAAATATGTCGAACAAACTTTCCTACAAAAAGCCATGGCACTTTGTCAGGTTTGAAATACCAAACCAAACGGTATGGGTACCCCCAGAGCACACTGCCTACTGTGTGCAGGATACGGATTCAGAGGTTCGGGTCTGCATGTGTCGACAGCTGTATCCATTGTCACGGACGGTTGGATTGGACACAGCCGAGGTATGTTCGTTGAGCCATTGTATTAAGGAAGCTATATTTATCTTCTCTGCAGAGGGTCGTGCTGCCAGAGCTTTGTGAACTGCTAAGAGATGAGGAAATTCCTGTCCAACATGCATCACTTAAATGTCTATTGGAAATGCTGAGCATGTTCCCGCCAGAGACGAAACAGTTGAAGATCTTTCCAATCATTCGTTCGTGCGCACAGCATTTTCATTTCTGGTGTTTGCAGTTTATTTGTAGCTAGATGCAGGTTTTGTGTGCAGCAGGAATCGGAAATGCTTCTGTCTTTGCTGCCGTTTCTTGGAGAAATCCTTGTGAAGGTGCGACACCATCAACATAAAAATCTACTAAAATAAGAGTTGCAGATGGGACCAGAATTAAAAGAGGAGGATGTGCAGGTTCTTGTGGACTCGTTCAGGTTATTTTGTAGTCACGAAGATGAGAACATAAGACGAGTAAGCTTAAGTTTCTAAAGCGCGTACGTCTGTATTGACGAAGTTGTCTCCTTTAAGCTCTGTGCATACAATTTCCCAGCCGTGATGAAGTGCATGGGCCCACGAAAGCATGTGTGGGGATTGCAAGCAATGTATTTGCACCTCTTTCATGATCCAATGCCCAGAGTTCGCGCTTCAATCGCGGCATCCTTTCACGAGGTTGAGTTTGTCATGTCTGGTTTTGATTTTGTTTCGACTACCAATTTAGATTACGAAGATGCTGGGAAAGGACAAGACATCTTTGTATCTGAAGGAACCGTTGATTCTTTTGCTTAAAGATACGTCACGAGAGGTACAAGGGTCCCTGCTACCAATTCTCCAGCATGTTTTAGGTGAGTAGAAAGATAAAGAGTTTCGTATTTTTTATGATGCAGGGATATATTGGTTCTTAACAGGGCAGTTCTCAAGTTCGGGTGAGCACCAAAGATTGGCAACATATGGTGCAATTATTCCATACTTGTTGCAGATGGAAAAGGCTATTAGTAGCACCCACCAGTGGCGTTTACAACTTGATCTTCTTAATGCGTTTCCTCAGCTGCCTGTCGGACTTTCGCTGGAGAATTATTTCTAGCTACTGAATCTCATATTGCTTCTGCAGGACTATGTTTCCAGCGACCAAATCTTTGAGTACTTCGTACCTATTTGCTTTAGATATATGTCGGACGGGGCGTTGCCAGTTAGATCAGCGGCAACGCTATCTCTTGCAATATTTATACGGTGTGTTTTGTTGCATGCACAAGAATCCTTGCTCACTAGTTCTTTCTGCAGCCATAATAAACGAACATCCCAGCGTTATGACTTATCACAAAGAGTGATAAAAGACTTCGCAAATGGGCAAAGCTACTGGTCGCGTTTGGTGTTTATAGAGTTTTGCGAGAGCATGTTGAAGTTCGTCTGCTGTGCTTAAGCCTTGTCATGCTTCATGAAGCTCGGGGTTTTGCAGGACATCAAGCTCACAAATGTTCAAAGAACACTTTCTTGAATCAGCAATAGTTGTCCTACAGGTCTGCTCTATGATAAACGTGGAACATGGATTTATCCCTCGGTACAGGATGCCGTGGCCAGTGTTCGCATGCGAGCGTGCCTACTCATACCTTTGTTAAAAGCAGCCATCAAGCTTCCAGATGATGTCCAGGCACTAGAGCGAATAAACTTTTTTGCAACACAACGGCTTAATGACAACGATCGCCATGTTGCATCCGTCGCTCGTAGCATTGCGGACTGCCTGAAGCACGCGAACATCAGGCTCCCCGGAAACGAGAAGTTCTCGCAGGTGCGGAACACCCTAATAACTCCGTGTATTCATGAACGTAGACGCGCAGGCCGAATTTGAAGCCATTGACAAGCAAAAGGAAGAAGAGGAGTGGAACATGCTGAGCAAGGAAGAGCAAGTAAATTTTGTTTTATATTTGTATCATTGTATAGTTGTTTTGGCAGGATGAGAAGAGGAAGTTGGATGATGTACTTCATAGGATGAAGCTGGAACCTCACAAAAGGACCGGACATGCCACCGGTACGTCCACGGCGCGAATGCCCTCCAAAGTCACTGGCAGTCCCAGTGTCAAAGTAAAAGCTGCTGCACCTGGAGTGTTGAGCTCGGGCGGCAAGCAGAAATCTCCTCCTGCTGCCACCGCTCCTGGCTCGGTCAAAGCGCCCAACTCAGCGAGACTAGAGTCGGAATCCGAGTCGAGTGACGTCTTCTCTCTACCACAAGCGCGGCCTCAAAGCAAGGCCAAAGCTGGGGTAAGGAGAAGCTGAAAATCGAACGGTCATAATACTAAAGCCTAAACCGGTGCGCCTCTAGCTAGGGTTATGCGACTGCAATGATTCAGTGGAAACGAACGCTTCGTAATGTTCCTGGCATTAGAGGCCTAGCCAGTAGAGTGGGAGGAGACGCTATAAATCATCCAGGTGCTTCTTCCAGCTCGGAGGACAGTGCCCTGCAAAGAGCTTGGGATGCTGTGGTTGACACCTGGAACTTCATTACCCGGAAGGCTAGGTATGCATTGCGGGGAGGGAGACTTCTTGTGAGCGGCGGGCGGCTTTTAAGAGGATTCTTCTAGGAGCGACACAAATGGCCTGTGTGTTTCCTCCTTTCTTTCATCATCATTGATGAAGAGCTATGGGAGACGCGTCGGATCCCTTTGACAAGCTTCCAGATGAGGTCTACCAGCTCATCTTCCACGCGATCTGTGACTGCAAAAGCCTGGTACGCTGCATGGCAGTTTCCAGAGCATTCAAAGAACAATCCGAGCGTGTCTCGACACTCTGCATCGTTTGCCCGGGCCAGTTCACATCTTATGTTGATAAGCTGCAGCGGATTTTCATGATGGTGAGACGATTCCACAGCTTGGAAGCTCTCGTTGTTAGAGTTGGGCAACCGAAAGACGAGCCTCCCTCGTGGGCGAGGTGCATGAGATATGCAGAAATTGGATCGTTCGTGGAGAAGTTTATCTTCATGGCGGCCAAAATTGGCGAGTTTTCAGAGTTTGATTCAGCCTTGCGGGGTCACCCTGTCCACAGAAAAGAGCGGGAGAGCTCGTCAGAAGGCGAAGGTGAGGCCGTTAGGATGGACAGAGACAGCGTGACGAGCGGCGGGAACAGCTCGACAACTCGCAGTCCTTTGGACGAGGAGGAAAAGGAAGATGAGGATTGCTCTTGGCCGTTGTCTGACGAGCAGATTTATCCGCAGTTGATCCTGAGGCAAGTTGTGGCTCCCAGCAACGACGTGCTGAAGAGGATGGTGCCCGTTATAGTATTTGCTATTGTGCAAGGACTGGATGAATTTCGTGATTCAGTGCCAGCATTTGTTCACAAGTTTAAGAAGCTCAAAATGTTTCTACTTGTGGACATGCTAGAAAGTGTGACGGTTCTCATGCGCGAACACCATATTCAGCAAATTAGAATACGGCAGCAACAAGTGGACGACAGTAAGGACGTAAAAGGCAAGAGTGTGAATGCGGGTGAGGAGTGTAGCAGCGACTTGATGCAGAAAGGAAAGGAGTGGCTTGAAAGCGACGAAAACAGAGCTTGCAGCTCACGTCGTAAACAAGATCAAGGGGAGAGCTCAGGAAGCCAAGGAAATTATGAGGACGAAGAAGATAACGAGGAGGAGCTGAGTCACAGTTCCGAGGGCTGTGCCACGACCCTGGAAGGAGGAGATAACCAGAGGACTCCCTTTGACGACGCATCGGAGACGTGGAGAAACTGCAAAGGGATTTGCATTCATGGACCGGGCGATAGCAGGGGCGAGCTCGCTTTCAAGTATCCATTTAAGCGAACTGGTAGAGGGACCAGAGACAACAGGTCTGTTCGAATTGGGAGCTACCGTAGGCGAGAACGCAGTGCAGAATGGATGGATGAAAGCGTGAGGAGGCGGCAAGAAAGCAGACACTACAAAGGGCTCAGTTTAAGGAGGAGAGAAGAAAGCAGAGCGTTCAAGACGTGGAAGCTTGGAAAAAGAGAGCGAGAAAATGGTGACGGCGACGGGAGTTACAGCGCTCAAAGTGTACTGGAGTCTTCCTGTGCATCGTCTTCTTCCCACGCTGACAGTGGAAGCTACGCTTCTGGAGAGACTTCGGACGGGGTTAGCGCTTCCTTGGATCATCCTTTAGCGTCTTCATGTCCTGCCGAAGGGGCGACGCGGGATTATCACATGGGAGAGAGGTTATCACACGGGAACATGGAGGCATGGAGTGAAACGTGGAACGAGAGACTAGGACGCAGAGCTCGTGAGCTTCCGAGGGAGATGGGGGGCAATGAGAGTGCTACTGATGTCGGCAGGGAAGCCTTGAGACGTGAGAGGCTACGGGAGGGCGTCCGGAAGAGGCAAATGGAAATTGAAAGAGAAGCGCTGAGGTTTGATATCACGTTCTGGAGAGCCGATGAGGTTGTTGCTCGCAGCAACTACAGTCTCACGGACGTTTCAATGTGCATTGCAACACATGACGCTAGCCCACTGTCCATCTCCGAATCGAAGACTCTAGTGTGCTCAGCCCTTGCTGGCCCGCTCCTAGCCGCCACCATTGCTCATGTAAATGAACAAGCAAGTTTCCATAACTTGTAATACTTTAAGAATCTGTCCTCAAAAATGAAGTGATAAACACGTGAGGACCTACGTTCAGGTGCCATAGTAAACGTAGCCGCTGCTGTATTGTGATCCGTAAGCACTGGGACTGTAGCTCATTCCCGACGCGTACAGGGTGTTTTGAGTTGTATAACTGTAGTCGGAGGTGGTGCAAGTGGTTGCTGCAGTTGTTCCTGCAGCTCCTGCCATGAAATTCTAGAGAAGAGAAAGCACGAGAGGCGTGGAATCTCAGTGACAACTTCAACGAACCTGAAGCAACTGTTGTGCTGTTTGAACTTGAGTCGACTGCCCGTGCACTTCGATTGTCATCTCTCCTGGGGCATTGGGAGTCTCTTGTATGCTAATGGTTGCTCCACTTGTCCGCCGCATGTAGTTGATATTGGCCCCGGCAGTTCCAATGATTGCATCTGCGTACAAGAGGGGGACCTGGAGCTGCTGACTCACAGTCTACGATTGAACAAAAGGCTTTGTGAGCAAGCGAAACCTGTAAGTTGTTTACCTCGGCAGGTGCCGCTGGCGTGGTGCTTGTTACATCCACCCGACCAGGATCACCACCATACACGGAGACAGCATAATGTTGGCTTTGCGCCTGATCCGCATAGTAGTCGGTTGACGAGTAAGGTGTGGTAGCAGCGACTGTGGGGGTAGCCCATGAAGTAGCAATAGCAGCAGCTTGCTGTCCTTGTACTTGGCTCGACATAGCGCGCTGTAATTCACCGTTATGAACTTTGTATCCAATGGATCTGGATCCAGCAAAACTCACATTGAACTCAAACAGCTGGAGCACGGATCGGTCCACGAGAAACTTGCGCAAATGAGAGACCACAAGCTCCATGGCTTTCTGCACCTTCAAGATTTCGCCTTGGACTTCCACCATCCTGTCGTCCGCTAACGCACAAAGTGGGAGCTCCTCTGAGACAACAAGGGTTAACAGCACGTAGCACAAAAGGGCACGAACCAACTGGCATGATTCGGACTGTAGCACCCGAGGTCTCCTGTATGGACCTGATTGTCGCACCTTGTCTTCCAATCAGGCTACCAGCTTGTGTAGCGGTGACGAGAAGGCGAGACTGAACGAGGCCCGAGGGCAAAATGATGTGCTCAACAGGTTCACCGTCGCCACTGGAGCCCTCTGTAACTCGCCGATGGACCCGGAGTAGGCCGTCCATTGCGGGTGAGATAGTTGCTTCGGGATCCTCCTTGGCGGAAACGAGCACCTGCACAAGTTGCATTGCATGGCTGGATGCCAAAACTGGCAAAGGCTACGTACGATGCGCTCTAGCGTTCCTGGTACACCGTCGAGAATTTTGATGCGCGACCTTGTTTCCTCGCACATTCTCTTGACAAACTCGCCCTTGCGCCCAATAATTGCACCAACCTTGTGAAGAGGGACAATGAGCCTAAAGACATTATCCCCTGGCCAGCCGGGCCATTTTCTCTCTCCCGGGGGCGTTTCCTCCTGGGAGCCAGCGACGGTGCTTGGTAGAGTTACACTGGCAGGGTCCTCGAAGTGTAGGAGGTCGACCGGCTCTCCGATAATCACCGAGCACGCCATTCAGGCGCTCTAGCGAACTCGACAAGAGGAAATGGGAAGAAGAGGCAAACCATGAACAGTGCTATGCCGCCGGAGGCGCTCCATACTTTGCCCTCAAAACCTGGAGCACACACAACTAACTTGTGCCACGCGAATATTCCCAGATCTTCATGTGTTTTTTAAAAGAGACAATATCACACAAGACAAGTCAGGACATGCCGGATCAGATGCCCAACCGGCAGTTGAGGTACCACAGATGCCATGCCAGCCCGACCAGCATTGCAAGATTTGCAGCAGAGCTGCAGAAGTGCAGCGCCCGGACCCTTGTCATCACGTCCCCCAGCTGCGTCCTCCTGGCGTGATCGTCCACACCACTTCCTCCTCCTCGTTCTCCAGGGCCGGGATCCAAAGCCCTGCCTTCCTCCTTCTCTATCCGTACTTTGTCAAACACACACTGCAGAAACAAGCACAGGCTTAGCGCACAATTCGCAACAGTGGAGGCGCCCACCTTTGTCAGCCGTGGTTCCAGCAGGAAAGTGTTCAGCAGTGTCACAACCAGGCACCCCGCAAGGTTGTAGCACTGCAGCAGCTCCGACAGGTGGGCACCTGGCGGCGAGTGCAGCAGTATGTGCGTTGCAAGGAGAAGAGCAATCCCCGACCCAACAATCCTGAAGTAGACGGGGAAAATCTTACTCTGCACCAGGGCGAACTGGTGGCGGGATATGTTGTTGGAGAGCACGAATCCAGAGATGAAAGTCACCCACAGTGCACTGCCAAACGTGGACGAGAAGAGGAACAAGTGCATCAGGCGAATGAAGGTGGCCACCGACTTATGGACCCACTGCTTGCAAATCCGGAGTGCCATCTCTTCAGACTGGTTGAGCTTGGCCATCTTATCGTGAGCCCATGCACCGGCCTGATTCCACGTTCGATTCACCTTCTCCCGCGCGCTGTTGCCCCACCTTGCCGCTTCTTCTTCAGCCTCGTGCACTTTGAGACAGAGCTTGTTCTTCTCGTCCACAACGGCGTCCTTGCCGCTCTGTATTGTGCTCATGCCGTAGTTGAAGACTGCCCCCCGTCCAGCATTGAGCTTGAGCCTCACCACGTCGACAATGTGTCCCAACTTCTCCTTTTGGTTTTCCAAGCTTTCCAAGGACGCCTGCTTGGCCTTGTCATAGTAGGCCTCAACTCGACGCTTGGAGGAATCGAGCGAGCTTCCCAGCTGCTGCTCCTTGTTGCTGAGCGCGTCGAGCACAGCGGCCTTGGTAACGTCGTAGTAGTCGCGAACCTTTCCCCTTGCCATTTCCAGGCTGGGATGCTCTTCGTGCGGCTCTAGCTCTGGAAGTTGGTTCCGGAGAAGCCCAAGCCCTTCTGTTGCTTTGTCCATTGCATCTCTGGCCGAGCTCCTTGCACCTTCGAGGTAGTCCTCCAACTTCTTGAGGTCTTGGTCCTCCGGCGTACCGTGGGAGGCGTCGTAGAAGCCAACGCCTTGGCCCAAGTTGGGCTGGTAGTGCGCAGCCTCCTGAACCCTCTCCGTGACAGCTCTCGCCAGCTTGCTGCCCAGAGATTGCTGCTCCTCAACGGCTTGATGTGCTACATCGCCGGCGGAGCTCAAGGAGTCGCCGAGCCTGTCTCGTGCACTGGCCGCTGACTCTGCGCCTCTGCTTGCGCCCTCGCTCACATAATCCGACAGCCTGTCCCGAGCCTCTGAAGCTGCGTCTTGGCCGCGCTTGGTCGCGGACAAGAGCTTGCCATTGTAATCCTCCTCCGCGTGTTTGTAGGTGGCCGAGACGCTATGGGCCTCCACAACAATCACGTCCTTGTTCATCTTGCGCACCGTAGGCTCCGGGGACAGAAACATGACGGCACCCAGGGACGAGAGTAACACACACAAGGCTCTAAGATTCATCATGGCTACACACTATACCTCGTATCTCTTTTGTTGGACGACGACAACGACGACGCCGATGCCTGCCTGG